AAAAAAAAAAAACAAAAAAAACCCTGAACATTAATTAGCAATAAAACCATATAAAAAGTAGCAAAACAGCAAAAAGCAGTATCTATGTCAGTCTGAGGCAAAAAATGTTATTACTTCTGAGAGTTTTCTTTTTTCTTTTTTTTTTTTAATTTTATTTTTCTTTTTAGTTACATTTTGTTAACTCTGTGTCCCAGCTGTATCCCGCTCCCTCATTCCCTCCCCAACCCCACACTCCCTCCCTGGTCTCCTCCCTGCCCCTTTCCAAGTCCACTGATAGGGGAGGACCTCCTCCCCTTTCATTTGACCCTGTTTTATCAGGTATCTTCAGGGCTGGCTGCAAAGTCCTCCTCTGTGGCCTAACAGACTGCTCCTCCCCTGGGGGGGGGGTGTCAAACAGCCTGCCCTTGAGATCCTGTTAGAAATAGTCCGTGTTCCCCTTACTTTGGAAAACTACTTGGTTACTGAGCTACCACGGACCACATCCGAGCAGAAGTTCTAAGTTATATCCATAGATGGTCCTTGGTTGAGTGTCAGTCTCAGAAAAGACCCTGTGTCCGGATATATTTGGTCCTTGTAGAGCTCCTATCCTTTCCATATCATACTAACTTCCCTTCTTTCATATGATTCCCTGCACTCTGCCGAGGGTTTGGTTATGAGTCTTAGTGTCTGCTTTGAAACACTACTAGGTAGAGTCTTTCAGATGCCTTTTGTGGTAGACTCCTGTCATACGTTCAATGCACATCCCATTTGTCTTTCTAAATGAGGATTAATCACCTTCGCCTGTGTCCACTTTCTTGATTATCTTCTTTAGGTATGCAGATTTCATTATGCTTATCATATCTTGTAGGTCTATATAAGCGAGTATATACCAAGTTTGTCTTTCTCCTTCTGGGATACTTCACTCAGAATGATCTTTTCTAGATCCCACCACTTGCCTGCAAATTTCCTGATTTCCTCCTTTTTGATTGCTGAGTAGTATTCCATTGTGCAAAAATACCACAATTTCTGTATCCATTCCTCCACTGATGGACATCTGGGTTGTTTCCAAGTTCTGGCTATTACAAATAAAGCTGCTACGAACATGGTTGAACAAATGTCCTTGTTGTGTACTTGAGTCTCTTTTGGGTATATGCCTAGGAGTGGTATAGCTGGGTCTTGAGGTAGCACTACTCGTAGTTGTCTGAGAAAGCGCCAGATTGACTTCCAAAGTGGCTGAACCAGTTTACATTCCCACCAGCAATGGAGGAGGGTTCCCTTTTCTCCACAACCTCTCCAGCATGTGCTATCACTTGAGTTTTTCATCTTGGCCATTCTGATGGGTGTAAGGTGAAATCTCAGGGTTGTTTTGATTTGCATTTCCCTAATGGCTAATGAGGTTGAGCATTTCTTTAAGTGTTTCTCTGCCATTCGATATTCCTCTTTCGAGAATTCTCTGTTTAGCTCTGTTCCCCATTTTTTTAATTGGATTACTTGGTTTGTTGCTTTTCTGCTTCTTTAGTTCTTTATATATACTGGATATTAGCCCTCTGTCAGATAAAGGGTTGGTGAAGATTCTTTCCCAATTTGTAGGCTGTCTATTTGTTTTGATGACAGGGTCCTTTGCTTTACAGAAGCTTTTCAGTTTCATGAGGTCCCATTTATTGATTGTTGCTCTTAGAGCCTGTGCTGTTGGTGTTCTGTTCAGGAAGTTGTCTCCTGTGCCAATGAGTTCTAGGCTGTTTCCCACTTTTTTTTCCAACTGATTTAGAGTATCTGGTTTTATGTTGAGGTCCTTGATCCACTTGGACTTTAGTTTTCAAATACACACCTGACATACATGTACGATTAAAAGCTTGGTTTCACATTGCCCACTCTTTCATGAAGCAACATGCTATGCAGTTAGTAGCACAAGGCTCTGAAACTATTGCTGTTACCTCTGGAGTCCTTTTGAAGTACAAAAAAAAAAAAAAAGTCTCTTGTGGTACAGGGCTTTAACAACTGTAAGAAAATTTCATGAACACCTGCCCTCATGAAGAACAACTAATATCCCTTCACCAAGAAAACAAAATTTAATTCTAAAGAAATTAAGATATTAGATGCAGCTAAATGTGGTGTGTCATATATCTTTAATCCCAGCACTTTGGAGGCAGAGGAGGTAGATCCAGGCCAGCCTAGTCTACAGAGTAAATTCTAAGCCAGTAGGGCTACATAGTGAAATCTGTCTTAAAAAACAAACAAACAAACAAACAACAAACAAGTTTGATAAAAATATAACATCATTATGTTTAAAAAGATTAAAGATACAAAAATTTGAAACTGCAGACTCATATGTATAGCTTTGAGTACTTATAAAATTATAGTGACATAATAAACATGTACATACATCTCTAGGCTATGTACTCTGCTAAGAGATTTAAATTAATCACTATTAGAGTTGGTACTATAAACTCTTTCAACATTTTATATTAAGAAGGATGGATGGTGGTAAAAACTTTGTAAATCATATCCACTAAAAACCTGAAATAATTATTATTTACCAAAGTTACTTCTAAGATAATGGAAACTGCCAATCTAGATAACTTTATTTATAGTATTTACGAAGACTTATTAATGTATAAAATAGCATAAATATAGAATACGAAAACAAAAAAACAAGGGCAATTTTTCAATATGTATATTACCTCTTTGTTTTCATTAAAGCCAAAACAATGCCATAGATTTCCATTAAAAAAAGCTAAAATTATATTTAACTTTGCAATACTGCCCAATTTTTTTTTTTTTTTTTTTTTAATGAATGGAAAGTCAGCACTGAAAGGCCTAATCAGAGCAATTAGGTAACAAAAAATAAAAATCATCCAAACAAGTATTTCGTTTTGCCGACAATCTTCACATACAAAACTCTGAAGACTCTGTAACACAAATTCTCAGAACCAATAAACTATGCAAAGTTTCAGGATACCAAATACACACACAATAATTCATTGTGTTTCTGTGTATTGCTAGTGAACAAGATAAATTTGTCTACCTCATCTAGAAGAAAATGGAAGTAAACTAAGCACAGAAAGGAAAACATTTGTGTAAAAATTGTTCTATGACACCAAGAAAAAATGGAACCTAGCCTCAAGAGACTTTACCCCTGCTCCAAGGTCAGATGTCCTATTTAGAGGAAGATGCTCAACAGTTTCAGCTGCTGCAGATGAAAAGTTGAGTAGGTACATGGTTGTCCAGTTAGACAAGTGAATATACTTAGGTCATACAACTTTAAACTAGTGAATTTTAGGTTTCATATTGCTGTAGTCTAAATCTGGAATGTCAGCAGAGGCCACTGTGGCACAGGCTTACCATGCAGCTTACCACTTACGCTTAAAAAGGGGAGGTGGGAGAAACTTTAGGTGGTAACATTTTACAGGCAGTCTTCTGGTAATTAGGTTCGAGTCCTTCATGGTCATGAGCCCCTCCTCCTGTCTCTTTTAACCCCTTTAATGGATTGGACCTCCAAAAGTGGAAAGCTGACTAAAGTGTATATTTAAACATAGCCAAAAAAAAAAAAAAGATGATGAGTGGAAGATTAGTTATACACTAAAAACAACACATCAAATGTGGTTAACAATTTTTTTTTTTTTTTACATTGGTTAAACACCTGAATGGGATTCAGATTTGTAATCACTAAGTAATGTCAATGACTGGTATAA